GAATCCCCGCGAAGCATTCGAGGTCATCAACAGACAGAGCAACCCCAAGTTGTTGCGTTTTGCTGAGGCTTCCGCCATCTGGTGTTTGAAGCCGAACCTATGTAAACAACTTGAGTTTGTGGCCAATCTTGCTTTTCCTTGGTGAGGTAAGACAGACTAACTAACGCAACTACCCATCGATTTCTGGTATTGACGCATTACTCCTAACCGTTTGAAATTTTCACCCATTGCATGTAAGGGGCTGAAGAGAATATTGAATTCAGGTTTTTCCGAAGCAATGTTCGTCATTCTTGCTCTGTTAATATTTTTGAGTATCAATGGTTGTATGACATTTTAAAACCTCTAATACTTTAGGGTCTTCTCTGCGATTTTACTTCAGTGCCTTTTCATTTTGTTAGGCAGTCGAAGATGAATGATAACCAATAGTATTGCATTCCAGCTAAAAGGACATCTGGGAGGAAGAGTCCAATTTAAACTGAATAATGAATACTGAGAATAGCGAGAGAGAAGATACCAAACTGTGTTGATATATCATAGGTCGATCGCTCACATGTGCGGAATCATGTCGCGAATTCCTGCGAGGTGACAGCATCTTGCAGCTGCAGTACGTCTTATCCGGGTACGATTCACTCCCTATACCTGTAGTCTGCAAAGTGGGAGTCAATGAATCTCTTGAATTCCGACACCGATTTTGCCTCAACTAACATCTCCGGCCATTTCCTCCAACATTTCCCTACTTGACGCTCGAAGCATAGAGGTTGAGCGATATGCTTTAAATCCGGTACCATTAGTTAGTACCGGTGTCCGCGTGTACTGCTTGGTGTTCGAAAGTGCAGCAGCGACTTCAACATAGGGAAGTGGTTCCGGTGCGATATGTGGTGCTTCATTATGAGATCAACTCGAAGCCGACGATATGACAGGGTCTAAAGCCCTAGTCTCCTACATCGGTTTCGTAAGAAATACCCCGTAAACTGAGGTTGAGTTGGGTAGCTACATGCTGGACCCGGTCCAATCTCTTCACCTCACTTATTCTGATCAGACAATGAGTGGGTGAGCCGTACTCAAGCAGCGCTCTTATTATGGAAGAGAACAGACGGGTGGCAATCTCTTCAGACCAAGTGCAGAAGCTTTGTCTATGTGCCCAAAGCAGGCATAGTCCCTTTACGTACAGTCTGTTCGCGTTGTCGACCGACTTCAGATTACAGCGTGAGAGTACGCCTAGATCCTTTACGGAACTGATGTGATGCAGCAGATGGCCGACTAAGGTGTACGCACGCCCATTATTACCCTTCTCCGAGCTGATAAAGGAGGACCTGTCCGGGTCAGCTTCTGCAGTCCACTGGGATAGGCGGTCGACGTCCTGCTGAAGGACGTCACAGTCGCCGGGAGAATTAATAATCCACCAAATCTTCAGGTCATCCGCAAATAATACTCAGGGCGACCGAAAACCTTGATCTATTTCATTGATGTGGATCAGGAATCAAATGGGTCCCAGTACTGTGACTTGAGGTACCCCGCTGGTGGACGGGTACCATTCCATTAGATGGTCATACACCTGAACCCGCCCTCTTCTCCCAACTAGCAGGTCACTGATCCACTGATGCAGTGCGTTGCCAACACCACACATCCTCAGTTTGTGAAGCAGGAACTCATGGTTCACTTTATCGAAAGCTTTACTGAAATCAATTTAGATAACATTCCTTGATTTCCCCCAACTCAACGCTTGCAACCGTTCTTGCCGCGTTAACAGCAGGTTGGTGATGCACGAGCGACCCTTCATGAAGCCGTGCTGTGCCTGAGTTAAATCATTCGACTCCAGCAGCACCTTCGCCAAAACAGAGGTGAGACCAATCAGCTAGTAATTATCCACATTGTGTGAGTCACCATCCTTTGGAATCGGATTCACTACCGAGCATTTCCAGTCGCTCGACAACGCGCCCTCGGACAGCGATCTGTTGAACGGATCCGTTACGGCAGACGAGATGATGGCCGATAAGAACTTCAAAATTAGCTGGCGAAGTCCATCAAGTTCGGCAGGTTTTGTGCCGTCCAGGCTGGCGAGTAGACGGCGGACCTCCTCTATACCGCAATCCAGTCTCTCGAGTTCAGTAGGAGCTGCACACGTCGAGCTAGGCATAGGTACATGCCTACTTGTAAATGCGGTAGCGAGGTCCGCCGTCAAAGCGGAAGCAGGTTCAGTGCTGGAGGTCAGAGGCTATCCGTCCGTGCTCTCTAACACAGCTAGGTCACTTGCGGGCCTCAGACGCCGCTTTACGGAAGCAAAAATCTTCTTGGGGGCCGTCCTTGCTGAGATTGCAAGCTCCTCTTCAAACGTCCGACGCTTTTGCTCTGTTGCATAGATTCTGCTGCTTTGTACGCCTCATCATCGTCGGCGGAGCCGGAGACGAGGAATTCATCCTACAATACGAGTCGCCGTCGAGCCAATTGACTATACTCCTTGTCGAACCAATGTGGCTTCAATGGTCCGGCTTTCGATACTTGAGGGTACGAATCCAGCGCGCAACCATTGAACACCCTCTTTTATGACAGACTAACAGGCTTCAACAGATAAATCCTGTGGCAGCGACCAGTCTACTTCACTGGCCTCTAGATTTAGATCACTGCAGTCGGTTTTCCAATGGTTTTAAGACGGCTCCGGCGGACATAAGTAGGGCAGCGGAAACTCTAGGCTGGCTAACGTCATCGAGTGGTCACTAGGTGCCAGAAGATCCAGGACCTGAATTTCATGTACATGTTGCGCGCAACTCATTAGTAGTAGGTCCAGGAGCGGAATGCGGTGTAACGAGCGTCGGTTGTCAGACATGTTGTGCTGCCCCAGTTTCAAATACCGTCTTCGCAAACTAAGCGTCGATTTCACAGTGCCCGGGAAGAATTTGGATCTCAGGTCACCGTATTCGAGAGAAGTTAAAATTGCCCATAAGCAGGAAGTGGGGCCGACTCAAGTATTTTCTGGCATGCAGCAGCCAGTGCAGGTATCGACTTCGCGAACTGCGATAAGCAGCACCCACAAACAGTTCACCCTGTCTCAGGCGGATCGAGCACCATAACTGTTCGCACAAGCCATCTTCGCTACGGTAGGTGCGTGCCAGTCTCCCGCGCAGCTAGGACCGAACATATAACAGCACGCCGCCTCGATCGTTTAATAGCGTGTCGAACCGAAAGCACAAGTAGCCAAGGGCAAGTTGTCGCTAATGAGTTTCCTTGCATAAACTGGTGCATATCGGGGTGTATTTACCATCTATTTTGTCTCTTTTCATCTATGGCTAGTGTCGACATAATTGGCGATATAACACTTGTGCATTCGATGATCGACCAACGTGCAGTATGGCATAAGAAGGTATAACAACACTATCTGTACTTGCCTTGCTTGCATTACATACTCACGTGATAAGCAACAGCAATTGTTCCCGTAAAATATTCCGCCGATATTTGTTAGCCAGAAACATGCGGAATCAACCTAAATATATCGCTGGCGTTATCTTCATAGAGTGGTTGCTTTTTTTGCGCAACTATACGGTGTCCAAGAAGTCTCCCAAATATCGGAGACCGATCACCAATGTAAGTATCATAATTTAGCTTACATAGTAGCGATTATTATACTAACAATGTGGTCTCTTGGACCACGGTAAAAGCTAAGGTCGGTTAACTTACCGGTGTTTCTGATTACCAAAACAACCTGAGGATGAAGCAATGACCTGAGATATTTGTTTTCTTATTTACCACAAGCGAACGCAAGTAGTGTGCAAAAGTATTAATAACTTAGTTCAACACCATGTCTGCGTATGAGTAGCACGTTAACTCTTTTACAGTCGATTTTCGAGTAGCTTGTGAACTAGTTACATCGAATTGGATGAATGCACCCTGATTAACTTTAACAGCATGACACCCCACAACAACAATGCTAAACATCTATTCTAACGCTCAACTTTCATTGGAAAAAGTTTCTCAAGTCGACAAATGTTATGGGATTTTTTGAGGGACCACGTTGTTGATGTACGGGTGTTTACTCGAAGACGCCTTTTGACACCGTACAAATAGGCACTTGCCTGTCTAATGAGTCCTAGAAATGGGCCGTTTTCATAACTGCTGCAGTACGCTGGTTGGTGAGGTTTACACTCAATCAACCCGCAAACCCCCACTTAAATAACATCCCTTGAGTGGTAAATTCACTCGCACGGGCTGATCAAGCGACTGTAGTTTGCGATCTCATTCCGGTGTCAGCCATATGTTGCAAACTCACTTTTTGAGTAAACAACCTATTCAGCGTCCTACGCCAATGACCACTGGGCATCCATTTGGAGTCAATTCAAGTCAAACTAGGCGTTACGCACCCGGGTAGGTAGCTTTTCAGCATGTTACACTATCACTGAGAGTGGTGAAGTGATGAAATTACTGTTGAAGCTAAAATATAAAACGCCTCATAAACATTTACACATATCATTCGAGCAAGTAATTTCGCATCATACTGATAGCTTTGGTTTGGACGACAGGCAAGCTGTACAGGTACGGCAGAATAGAACCGCGGTAGGAGGCAGTAGAAATGTGACCTTAAATTTGGAGTGGATAGAAGAAACAGTGTTTTTGAGATCACAATGTACTGGATGAAGAGGGTCGTTTAGAATTTTGAATGAATAACTGGTATAGCCATCTTGATGCTTGCTAACCTTAAATCCACAAGGGAGTCTCTACAGTCTAAACAATCTACTGCGTCTGGAAATAACCTTTATGGACCGTACAATCACGGTGTACTCATTTTTGATTAACCGAGGGAACATTTCAGGGGAACAGTAGAGCCAATACGGCAGATTGCAGGTAGCCACGGGCCTTTACGAACATCCAGTTAAATGTGTCGTCACATAACGGTCCTTCACAGCGACACTAAGCAAGGTTAATATCATTTAAGTTACTTCACCTGGCAAACATGTGTAGTCACATATGTTGTTAAACCCAATGTGCGTTTGCTCCTGCCTTCAAAACAGCGGATTCAATTGTGGAACAAGACGTTGAAGAAGGCTTCTTGGTTCGTATATTGTGCAACGTGACTGAAGCCGATAGGCCGGAAGATGCTGGTCCTATTCGGTTCGAATGGCGAAACCCTAATGGCACACTGGTTGGCACCCAGTGGAAACTCGAACTCGGACACATCAGAATACACGAGTCCGGTGTCTACGTGTGCCGTGTGTCGTACGAGTTGGATGGCAAGCAAATGTCGACGAGTTCTGCCACGAAAATCAACGTGTTGAAGCGTGAGTTCATTAATGCGTGTAAGATGCTTCCAGCTTATAAACAACATACGCGAGCGTAAACAGGACCTGACTTCTTGGTTGACGTTTGCTCATATCGTGGTAATATTTTTAGGTCAATTTGTTTAATTTTTACATGTCTTAGTTCTTAATGCTCAGTATTGGAATAAGTCTTAATTTCTATACGTCAGTGTGCTTTAAAGTAGCAATTGTGTTGGATGCGCTGATCGAGACCACTCTATTTATAACAGAAAACTTAGTAAAATTCTGAATCCTTTTGTAACCCAAATACTGCGCAGAATATTGATTAAATTTGGTTTATTGCGTTGTAATGCATAAATCTCCAACTTGAGAATGACATGCTTAACATTTAGTTAGTGTACTTTCGCATCAATGCACAGTAAACCTTTGCTTAATTGATGTTATGCAGAACTCTTATTCATACTGGTTGGTACCTTTCTGGTGTCGGATTACAGCTGCTTGCCGCTGCTGCATCTTTAGGCAGTTACGCTTACGAACTTGTACATGAATTAAAAGGCACACTTTATATTAATGTGAGTAAACAAAGTGACAAGGACTTTTCTCTTACAATCTCAGTACTATGCTTGCGCTGCGTCGGTGTTCACATAATGAAAGCTGGTTCAACGATACTTTGTCTGCACTGGAGAAGTTTGGCCCTGTTTAGCTCATCAGCCTTGTAAACACTTCGATCGTTCATTTACTTGACACCGGCCCATTGATTATTGATGTTCCTCGTGGATAGTATAATGGTAACTTTTCGAGTGTTGATGTTGTAGGCTGCTTATAGTAAGTCGTTGACATTATATTGTGTTTACTTGGAATACCAATGAAATGTCGGGCGTGGAACTGTTGAATCAGGCTCGAACTCACTGCGCTGACCGTAAATTACGATCCATGCTCAGTGACTCGTCTGTGCCCTAAGGAATAGTGGAGTCACTTCACTCTCTTATGTTGCATTTATCTCCGCACAGCTATGTACCCGAATGCGGTGGGCGCATGGTTACCAACCGCGATTCTCATAGGACTACAGAATGTGATGATGATGTGATGACGATGACAATGCAAAATTCACCGGAAACGTATGTGACGATGAGAACTAAATTACAACGAGAATGCAACTTGACATATAGTAGTACTTATTTACTTCGACTGGACAACTAGTGCACCATGTACGTAGCGCTGCTGTTCCCAGATTCACTGACTTTGATCAGTCTGTGGATCCAATTTGATACTGATTGCTTCCTTCGTTGCCTTCGATCGATCACTGGTAGATGCGGCTTCCAACTTCCTGTATGTTGTGCCTTAGGATTGCACAAATCTGTACTAATCCACCGTTTACGATGCAACGGTGTCGGTAAAGTAAAGCTCCATTCCTCGCAGGTCATCTCCAAATTTTGTCAGCCTTTCCTCTTGGCTGAATTGAATCGGGATGTGTGAACAGCAGCAAGGTCGATGGACCTCAAAATGAAATGTTGAAATTTGGTCTGTCGATTTTTACTCCTACTCCAAAACATTGCTGCTGTTTTGGCCTTTTGACATTTCAGCACCAAATCCATGCCCTCTTTGTTAACTTAAATATACACAGCTTATCAGAAATTTCGATGAATACGTTCCCTTCATTACTAACTAGCTGTCAGTTTATGAAGAATGAATGACGTCCTTCATTAACCTACTAATACTTTATACTCGTAAAATTTTATAAGTTAGTTCGTATAAACTACTCAACCTTCTTCTCAGTCTACGTGATTCTATCACTGAAGTGAAAACCATCCGAAATGTGTCTATTCGAGTGACCCTAGTCTCTCACACTCGTTGTAACCTTAAAGACTGGCACTTCCAAGCTCGTTACCTCACCTATTCACTATCACCTGGGACTACACTGATTCCCCCTACAGCTCCTTGTCTGTGTGAATGAAAATGCCGCGCTTACCAGTCTACTTCGAAAATATATAGGCCACTCTTGTGTGGGTTTAACTGATTATAGATCTTTGTTTAATGTAGCTAGAATACATTTCGACTTTTAGAACACTGCTTGAGATCGAATCTGGCCTCAGCAGCTAGCAGTTGGCTCAATCTTCAAAAATGAAATCCAGAGTGGATATTTATTGCTTACTTCCAGCTTTGGTTCACCCATTGCTTTGTTATACTATTTTAGGTTGCAATAGTTTTAGGTTAGGAATGGGATGGAATACACCTTTACAGAAGAATACTGATTACGGTACAAGCCATTCTATGTAATTTTTCGGATGTCTATGCATGCATTCATACTGGGCGGCGCAAGTTGGTCATCACGATTCGCTTTTTGTACTTTGCCGAACACGGTCGAACGCGAGGTCCACTCTGTCAATGTCATTCGAAACAACAGCAGCTTACAGCTTGGGTTTCTTACGCAACTACCACCAAATTTAGGATAGAGAACCACTATTCCAATAATCTTGTTCTCTACGAATTATTTCGTTGCCCCATAGTACGTAACGGTCGCAACTGCGATTGACATGGTCCACGACCACTAAGTGTCCATAAGCCGCAGACAAGCGTCTACAAGCTATGGTAGATCTAAATCCTTGATTAGGCCGAGTGGTTGTGCTCGATGAAGTTTCTACATTGTTACTCGAATTGCTCGCCAGATTATCACCCACTCTCCGTAGTATACTGTGCTCTGTGGTGTCCTGGTTCAAGATGACTTGGGTTGCTCCAGGCAATCCGAAAACGCCTCGAAGACCGGGAAACAACACGTTGGGCTGTTGAGGCGGGCGTTTGGACAAATAAACAGCTCTATATTTCGACAAATGCTCAGTGCGTATGTTCACCCCCATGTCGAATATGCAATTCAAGCCTGGCATCCATGGCTGAAACACGACCTTAATGCACTGGAGCAGCCACAACGCCGGGCATCTAAGAACGTAATTGGAATGCGCAATCTTTCCTACCAGGAGAGGCTGCAACGACTGGAATTGTTCAGTGGAAGCTATCGCAGACTACGAGGCGACCTTATTATGGTGTACTTGATTCTGCGAGACCCACATCATGTGTGCCGCCATTTACTGCAACTCAGCAGCAATACAAACCTGAGGGGCCACTCATTAAAACTCGCAGAACAATACAGTCGTCTGGAGTGCCACAGAAACTTCTTTTCCATCCGTGTCTGTCACCCGTGGAATACTCTCCCAGAATCGGTCGTCTCTGCACCGACATTAACAGTATTTAAAAGACGGTTGGACGATGCACTCATCCACTTACAGTTTGTCACTTAACACTACGTCTCCATCCTACACCTAGAGTTTACCATGGAATAATTTGTTGTTAACTGTGGATGCTGTGAATCTAAGAGGATCGCAGAACTGCAGCGAAGCAAACAATAAGTCCTTATTTTCATATTTAAAGTATCAACTATTTTACTATCCTTATCATCATTATTGTTATGTTGATATCCCCACCAACTATCCAACGGGACTTGTAAAGCAACGCTTCTTAACCCGTATAAACTCATTATATAACACACGATGGTCAGTAGGCATGTAGAAAGGTGTGACGACGCTAGCATCGCGTTTAACAACTTCTGGACAACTGTACTTTTGCGGCATCATTTGCGTGCGCCCACGTTCTGATACTATCACATTGAGGAAGTACCGGGAGAGTGAAAAATACTTTGAAGATGTACTGTTCCAAGCATTCAATAACTGCTAACTAATATACGAGATTAACTATGTCACGGCGCTGCACCAGCTCTGTGCGTGGCATGTATCTAAAGTGGCAGTTATAATGTATATCTGCCGTTGGATACATTACTTTCGACAGCCGATCTCTCAGGCCAAATCAAGCCGCTAAAACTAGTTACCTTCGGATTAGGGAAAAACAGAAACGGAATCAAAAATTCACATAAATTCACATTCGTTAGAGCCGGTGGACAATGAGTGCGTTTCAGGATAGGACCACAACCAGGTGTTAGGAAACGTAATGGCGGAGGAAAACATTATCTTGACACTCTCCGACGGATACGGCCAGGTGCGATAGCATCCGAAGTTCTTTGATGCATTTGCCAAAGACTGCGCACATGTCTTTCTCTTTTTGTTCCATCCGTCCTGGGGCCATCGAAGCGCCTTTCACTGAAGGATAATCATAAGTCCTACTTTACGTTTTATCTACGTAAGTCGCAGCTACCTAATTCCAATTCGCATTGTGTACTTTTACTAGTGAATACTATCCAATTTGAAAGTGCCATTCCATAATTACTTTGCGTGTTGCTAACATGTAACATATGTAGCCAAAGTACTTTAGCGTTCACCAACTGGTTCGCATGAGGAAAGAGTAATAACTTTCCGGATGCACAAAATGTTTTATTTCTTGCACAAAAATAAGCATTACATTTTCTCGAAGTACTCCTCACCAGCATTCATCAAAAGTTCCGTACGCTCAAACCATTTGAAGAAGCAGCTAGATCACGCCAAAGCGGGTAACTTTTCAAGCGGCTCAAGAAAATCCTCCACTGCAACTTCTGAGGACACGTAACGGATTCCACGCAGCATGCGCTTGACCTTTGGGAACACAAAAGTTCACAGGAAGCCTGGTCTGCACTGAAGGGTGGGTGACTAGCCTCCCGGATGTGCTCTCGAGCCAGAAAATCTCCGACGAAATGGGGCCTATGCGCAGGTGCCTTGTCATGGTGCAGCAAGGTCCCTCTTGCTCGAGTTCTTGCACCACGCTTGGCTACAGCTTCCAGCACTTGTGGCAGGCAGTGGATAGCATACCAGTCTCCTCTGACTAAGCGTTGTCTTACGAAAGAATCCAAAATCTGCCTAGCCACACTGCGCTAACGTCGGAATTCCTGAGGCGGCGCCTCACCAACGGTTGTCCACTGAGCCGATGGTTGCTTGGTCTCTGGGTCGAAACTGTACACCCAGGTATCATCACCACTGAGGATCTCTCTAACAGCCCTGGAACTTCCACCATCAAACCTATCAGGCCTAGTGCGTCACCAATTC